TTCTTTCTTCTTTTCTATGTACACCTACAAGTCTTTTGCTGCCATAGCGAAAAAAAAAAGAACAACAGCTACAAATCAACTATGATCAGTTTACGTTTTGTTAGACTAGTATCAAAATGAAAGAATAAGAAAAAAACCGAAGTATAGTAGTAACAATATTAAGAATAGATCAAGACATTTTGTTAGGCAAGATAAAATAAAAGAAATTAATACGTAATGAGACGAACAAATCGTGTAGAACCGATTAATATTGGTCAGAATGGAAATGATTTAACAAGAGCAACGATGACAACAACTACACGTATGGAATTTGTTCGACGAGTCGAAGTACTTCCAATGGTATGTAAATATAAACATTCAGTGTTAAATAGTCAATTTAATTGTTGCATGTCGAAGAGGATTTTCTTTTTTTTCTTACTCATTCTAATTGATAAAAAATAGTTGAATGAATAATTGTATTTTCAAGGCTTTTATTTGTATATTTCTTTATAGGGAGAAGCCGTTGCTCGATTACATAGTGATCTTAATCAATCATTAGCTGGTGAAGTAGCTATCTCACCAAGAATTTGGACTGGTGGAATGCAACAAGTTGCAACACCTGTAGCGGTTAGGTAATTTATGATTAGTTAAATTTTCTATTTTTAATTCATTAGATTTATTATTTTTAATAGAGGTTCACGCAGATCAATACGGTGTATTGGTTGTTGTTTTATGACAGTTGGATTATTAGCTCTTTGTGGTATAATTGCTGGTTTAACAATTGCTTTTAGAAGTTTGTATTCAATGATATAACAATTAAGCATAATAATTAATTCATTTTTTCTTATAGATACAAATGATATTGGCGAAAGTGGCATAGAAAGTTTGTGAAATTTTCTTAATTCTCTTGAAATATATTTATATATTGTTGTATAAATTAGGATACGATGTAGGTGATCTACATTATGGAATGAATGATGTCGATACTGCAAAATTTCCTTCAAGTACATATTTATCTAGTAACAACAAGATGGTAGTTCAAAATTATGTATGTAGATTTATGTAATTCATTATTTTTTTAATAAGTCTGTTTCATATTAGTTGTCTAATCAGTTACTTGATGAATCAGGTTATCGTGGTTTGTTCATTGACGGAGTTCTTGTGCAACAACAATCAACTAATAATCGAAGACGCCGGTAAATTTTTATATTGTAAATTTAAATAATCAAATTTTAAAATCTATTATTTTTTAGAGACACATCATGCGATGCTCTTTTTATTATTCAAAATATTCAGGTATATTTTGATTATTGTTCAACATGTACTGGTTCTCGTAATCTTGCATTACGTCGTTCACTTGGAAATTTGACTGCCTTTCAACAACCATTGAATTTATTAATAAATAATGGTAGTATGTCTAAAGTCTCTACACAACTTTGTTCAGCACCAACTATATCTAGTTTAAGTAAGAATTACATTTTATATAATTTAAAGTAAATAAGACTTTTTTTTTTAAAAATTAGTTGTACCTGTAAGATTAAGTATTTTACAAGCACAACAAATCAATTCAAGTCTTTTAGCAATTGAGACATATTCTACAACCACAACAACTGAAGTACGTTCAAGTTATTCGACATATATCTATCCGAAGCGTCCAACAACAGGTCGTTCATCGAATATATTTACATCTCGAAGTATTTCTACACAAAAGAGGAGAATAACAACATCAACAACAACGACTACTTTACCACCCATGGAAACAACTTTACCAGTTGTTACAACCATAGTGAATGATATTAGTACTGCGATTTTCACTACATCATCGGCAATAACAACAGATGGAACACCAACAACTGAATTTACAATTATAGAAACAACTACATCCTTTCATAACATTGACAGAACAACATCTTCAACTGATTCAATGACTACGTCGTCAGGAACAATTGATGATATGACAACAACTGTTCAAGAATTTAAAGAAACATCGGCATCACAACAAACGACATTATCTTCAGATGAGACAACTACATACAATACTGATTTAACTTCACCATCAACCGAATCATTCTCAACTGAATTTCATGAAATAACATTACCATCATCATCATCACTACCAACAGATCTCAGTAGCAAAGAAACATCGACTTCTAATATTATGGATAATACGACGATAAGCGAAGAATTTGAAACAACTTCAACAGATGATCTATCAACAATTAGCCAAGGAGAACAAGAGAAAGAAACATCACCTGCAATATTATCAACTACATCTGTCGATGACTATTCAACTGTAACTTCTCTCATATATGACTCTACAACAAACACAACTGACATTGATACATCATCATCATCATTGTATGATAATTCAACAACTGAAATACAATCAAGTACAGTATCTGATTATACTGAAGAAACAAGTTTATTACCTCAACATATTTTAACTACGATACAGCCATTAACTACTAAAGTTCAAACGTCATTTAAATCGAAAGCTACAACTGCTGGTTCATTTCGACAAACAACTAAAAAGATTTCACCATTTCCACCGTATAAATCAGTATTTTCTACTGTCTCTGTACGAAATAGATCATTTCAACAAACTAGTGGAGCAACGTCTTCATTTACATCAGTGAAACCAGGTCGTACACGTAAACAAACATATTATTCAACTACCTTTGTATCTCCGACAACACAACGTTATGATACTTCACGAGCTATAACATCTACATTGCCATCGGTAAAACCA